TCACTTTGGTTTCAGACACTGCTCTAGATCTGCACTTCAGCTGCCGTTGTAATTCAGCCACTTGCATAACGAGACTCTGGACCTGTTTCTCAGCAATGCCAGCTCTTTTGCTAGAGGAGAGAAGGCTCTCCTTTGTAGCACAGATGGAAGTTTTCAAATCCGTTAGTCTGCACCTGAGGCGCGCTTCTGAGGCTCTGAGACTATCCCTCTCCTCAATCACACTTTCCTTTGTAAGAAGGACCAGCCAGCCAGCTTCCCTATACTTGTCATCCTGACAAAACTCCTGGAAAATATCAAACATACGATCATTCAGAGCCTCTCCTTTAACCAGCACCTCATCGATCGGTGGTGCTACTTTACATATTATTTTTCTATTTCACACCACAGATTAGTAGGAGTAGTAGACTCATCCATGCTTTTCAATCAAGTCACTATGAAAATTTATATTAACATATACATAAGCCATTTCCCTGGAAATGTAATACAATCTAAGTTATAACAAAGGATTTTGCGATACATATGGGAATACAGTTAGTGTGAAACAACCATAATAAATTTCATATATTTTTTCTGGCAATTTCATGAAGATGCTTGCATCGTTTTAACTTAAACCATAGTCGTAAAATGGAATCAGAATATTAGATTTATAATCATTTTACTTAATATATTGGAAATTGATTCCCAAGGTCACATTGTAGCTTTGGAGACTTTATTAGGTTTTCTGAAGTTTTTCTTCTAAACATTATTATAGCTCTCGCATAAACAATTTTTCAGGATTCATGTACTGCTGTTAACAGTTTCATTCATAGTTTTTTGAGTTTACAGAATTTAGTGGCAGATAAGAGAATCAATCATAGAAGGTTTTTGACTTCTTTCTGTCGAAATAACTTGGGTGTTTTTTGTGCTAAGATTTTACTTTGAAAGAAGTACTAAAAGACTAAGAATAAGAAATCATTTTTGGGGTGTATTTGTGTATATTGGTGTTCAGTTGCTTTCTGTTTCATTCTTTAAAAGAACTTGATTTCCATACTTCAACCACACCGATGGACAGAGTTTGGAGTAGGCTCCTGTAGACTTTCTCAGTGCTTAAGGATGCTCTTCATGTGGATATCTCACTAAGATCGTCTAGTACATGTTATGATGCTTTATGTCAGTTTATAGTTTACTGAGCTGAATAAGCTGCGCAAGGAGGTCAGGAGTCCCTTTCTCTGGTGTGCTTATAAGGAATAGAGCTTATATAATATTTTACAAATTATAAGTTGTGTAAATAGTGTAAGGAATTATATTGCAATAATTAGAAATTTGTCTTGGCGAAATGTTGGCACTGTTCTCACTTGAAATCAGTATAATGTCTTTTATATTCTATTTATGTATGTTACAGTCTATGTGGACCATCAGAAATTATGGGTTACATTGTGAAGAATGGGAATTCCAGAACATTTAACTGTGTTCATGTGGAGCATGTACAGAGCTCAAAAAGGCAGTTGTTCTTCCAGAACAGTGGATAGTGTGTAGTTTTAAACCAGCAACTGTGTGCACCAACTGTGTGTATCTTTTCACTTATTCAGTCTTGTGTGTTGAGCAAATAATCTGAGAAACTAAAGTATCTGAAGAATGCAAAATAAATAAGGGAAAAAAAAAGAACACTGCATTGAAGGAAGACTCATTAACTTGCAATATGCAGATAACAACACCTTGCTTGCAAAGAGGACTTGAAACAGTTGTTGGGATCAAAGACTACAGCATTTAGTATGGATTACACCCCAACAAAAGAAAATCTAAAAAATCTCACAGCTGCCTCAATAAGCAAATATAAATGGAGAAAAGATGGAAATTTGTCAAGAATTTCATTTAATTGGATCCACAATCAACACCCATGGAAGCAGCA